ATTTACAGCACAATATACAATAAATATTTTCAATTTTAGCCAAAAAAGTTTGAGCGGGAAAACTTCATCTATTTTTGGCAAAATGGTTTGGTCTATTATATAGATATAGATTTAAAATGACACCAATCATTTTTCCTAATTTCCCATTTTTGCCCTTCCATCTTCCATAAAAGACTCACTATTTCTCACAATCGTCCCAACACAAACGGCCCCGTTTTCAACTTTAAATTAACTCAAAACTCTCACACACTCTCTACCGTTATCCCTGCTTTCCACCGCTTTTTCCTATCGCCGATTAATAATAATAATAAAAAAAATCGCGTTGTTATGGAGTACTTTTCCGGTGATTGTGCTGAGCTCTCGTCGGCCGACAACGTGAATTTCAACTATTTCAACGCTAGCGGCGCTCTTTTCACAGTGGACGATTTGCTGGATTTCTCCAAGGAAGACGAGACGATTGCCGACGCGTTTCCCGACGGCCTGGCGGGGAATCCCGGCGACTCCTCCACCGTCACCGCTGTTGATAGCTGCAATTCGTCGGTTTCCGGCGGCGGCAGCAGCAGCCCCAGCTGCCGCAGCTTTAACGAGACGCAATTTCCCGGCGACGAGCTGTGTATTCCGGTACTTTTTTTTTTTTTACATTTTTCTTCGCGATTTTCCCTCCGATTTTAGCTCAGAGACAGCCAATCGGTCAACTTTTCAGAGCTTATTTAATTTCCATATTTTTTTTTCCTTTTATGACAGTATGATGATTTAGCCGAGCTGGAATGGCTTTCGAATTTTGTGGAAGAATCTTTCTCCGCCGGAGGCGGCACAACCGTCACCACCGACTCCTCCTCCTCCTCATCCTCCTCCACCATCACCACGCACTTACCGCCGCCGCAGTTCTTTCCGGCCGACGCCTCGGTCCCCGGCAGAGCCCGCAGCAAGCGCTCACGCGCCGCCCCCTGCGACTGGTCCTCCCGCCTCTTCGTCCTCTCCCCCAAGGCGGCGCCGGCGAGGAGGAGAGAGCCGGCGGAGGCCCCCGGTCGGAGATGCCTCCACTGCGATTCAGAAAAGACCCCACAGTGGAGAACGGGCCCGATGGGCCCGAAAACTCTCTGCAACGCGTGCGGTGTCCGGTACAAGTCGGGCCGGCTCGTGCCCGAGTACCGGCCCGCGGCCAGCCCGACTTTTGTTTCCAGCAAGCATTCGAATTCGCACCGGAAAGTGATGGAGCTAAGGAGACTGAAGGAGGTCCAAATCCGGAGAGCGCATCACCAGCCGTTGATCGGCGATCATCTGATGTTCAACGGCTGTGATGAGTTCCTAATTCATCAACATAGTAACATCAACGGTCTGGATTTTAGGCACATGATTTAGCGTGTGTAGGGTGTATGTGCACTAGCATACGGTAGTACCCACACCACCTGCATGCTAATTTTCTTTTTTCTTACTTTATTTAGTCATAAGTCTTTTTATATTTATGGTAATTTCCCTTAATTTTTTGAAATAGAAATGGTGGGAGGGTACTATGGTTTAATTCAATTGTAGTCGTTGTAATGCACATTTTGATTTAAATTTTGAAGTCAACTTATAGCGGTTATCGTATTGCGGTTTTGCTATGAAGTCAACAGTTGCTTCATAGTGGAACCAACTGTTGATTTCATAGCAAAACCGTACCTTATTGATGTGAGTGACTTTTCTAGTAAGCTTCTTGAGTACTGTTGAATTAATGCTACAATTGGTGTATTATTTTCGTTGTCGTAATCATCGAATAACATCAACTTAATTATTCGTAGTTATTCACAAATGTTTATTTATACCCATATTAAAATAAATAATTAAATATACTTAAACAAGTGTCAATACATCAAACTATGAATTACTTTATAAGAAGTCATCTCCGTTGGCTCCATAGAATTTGTAATTGGTGCATATGTAATGCATAGTTTTTAAACCCGGCCCGGTAATCGACCCGGGCAGGTCTTCGGGTCACCGGGTCACCGGTTCAACCGTCGGGTTACCGGGTCAATTGCTGAACCGGATAATTAATTTTAAAATTTATAAAATTATATATAGAGTATTTTGTGATATATAAATATACATAAAAATAACAAATTGAAATATTTTGTATGTAAAATTTGTAGATTAAAGTGGTAATAATATGTATATATTTATTATATAAATATATATACATAATTTTATTTTTTAAAAAGAAAAAGAAAATTTAAAAACAAAAAAAAAATAAAAAAATACATATAGACCGGGTCAACCGGGTTGACCCAGCCGGGTCATTGTCCCGGGTCGACCGGGTCAAGGCCGGGTCGACCGGGTTTTGACCGGGTTTGACCGGGTCCATTGTTGCCCGGTCTAATTAACCCACCCGGACCAGTTCCGGCTCCGGGTCGACCGGGTCCCGGGTCGACCCGCCGGGCCGGTCCGGGTCACAAAACACTGATGTAATGTCATTATTAATACATAAAATCTTGGTTTGATGTTTAGTTCATTGAGGTCTAATATTTGTGACCATATAATACTTGTTGGATATTCATTTATCAAGTATTTATGCTCTATGGCTTAACTATCATTCTCAATTAGTGAGTGTTGATTTAAAAGTCTTGTGTAATAGTTACTCAAACTTGCATATGAAAAAGTTAAGAGGGGATGGAGGGAATTTGATTTGATTTGATTTGCTTGTTGATAAAGTAAAGATGATTATGGTTATCTTAGCAAGAGCTAAAAGGGTAACAAAAGTGTGTGTGTAAAGAAATATCAGCTGGAAAGGACAACAAAAGGGTTAAATATTGCAATCATGGGAATGGGTGCAAAGCATTTTTACCAAGAAGCCAATGTATTGGGGCCATGGGTTGTTTAATTGTGTCTACATAAATTTCTTTGAACTTTGATAAATTTGCACATGGAGGGGCTCATGTTTGCTCTCAAACCAAATACAATGGTCCTTCACTTGTAAATAATTTAGGGACTTTTAGTCCTTTTGGTATAATATTCAAATTCATAATTTTTGCATAATATGTACCAAATGGTTTATTGAGGACAATAATTTGCAACATTGTTGTCGAAATCGGGCCGAACAAGTCGGTTGGACATGTAACCGGTCACTTAGCTGGTTCAATCTGCTTACCAAAATTAGTAAAAACTGGTAAAAAATCAGTCAGCCAACCAATCATTTTCTTTTTTGTTTAAATAATAAATAATTTTGATACATTTATTTACTTATTAACATAAGTAAAAATAAATATGTTGGAATGATTTTTCCTAGTTCCTTTACATAAAATCTTCTATGACATGGAAAAATATTATAATTTTATATTTTTTGGGGCTCTTTTAAGAAGAAAAAAAGATAAGTATTTTGTAATTAGTGAATATCTCTGATTAATCATGATATTATTAAATAAATTGCTAGTAAGCATTAACATGGATTTCAGCGACTAATAGACCTTGTTAAGGAAGACAATATTTTTTGAAGTAAGAGGGATTTATGAACACCGTGTGGTGTACGAAAATTGGTATCTATTAATATATAAAGAGCCAAACTAAAAATTCCTGAAACAGTAAATAAAAATTGTTAAGAAATCCCGCCTAAACCTTTACTAATAATAGTAATATTTTTTTGAAAAATTTAGCATTTGTCCCGCTATTCAAGCCTGAATTTATTTTGAAATTTTAAAAATCTAATCTTCAATTCCAGGAAGCATATCCAATCTATATAGTTATTATTTTAGTGTACAAATCAGATAAGTTTTGTTAAGATAATTGACCACTCCTAACAAGTAACAAACTTCCTGTTGTTGCTCAATAGGCCCATTGTATTCAATAGAAATATTTACCAAACATTCAAGCTGATTATTTATACCTTTTCGTAAAATAAACTTACAACACTTCAAGTATATATAAAAAAAGGGAAATTACTCAAACATTTATATTAATTCATTTAGTTTTTCTTATACTAAATACTACTTTTATCTTTACCCACATAAAATGACGTGGCGGATGTTATAAACCAAATAAATTTCCACCCAACTTTTTGATACACAATTTTGATTTGCTATATTTATATTTATACACAATGATATTTACTTGAATGGTAACTAAAAATCAGTAAAAAACAAATATTGTTTCCCGCATAAAAATTTAGATTTACTAATTAAGTAATGTTTTTAGCCAAAATTTAAAAAATCTCGCCTAAATTAATGTAATTAATGTACCGAATCATTTTGATCAAATATTGTTCCTATTACCTTTATTCGTTGAATGATTTATATTTGGAATATAATATATTGGCAAAACTTGATGCTATTACCTTTATTAGTTGAATGATTTAAATTTGGTATATAACATATTGGAAAAAAAAATTATTTAAAATAAATAAAAAAATAATTATTTATATCTTATGGGTCAATGTTAACTTGGACGTAAACGAAATAGTCAATTATTTATATTTTAATAAATTAAACAACTACTTATTTTTTTTGATTTGAATAGTTTATGCAAAAATAAATTTATTTTATGTAATGAAACAATATAAATTTTATATTTATACTTATTATTCACATAGGTTGTTAATATATGATATATTTTTTCCAAAATAACTATTTTATGAAATCACATTATAGTCAAATCGAATTTCTGGATAAAAATTTGGAATGATACTTATTTTGAAACAAATATAATGTAATTTATTATTAGTTATGTTTACCGCACGGGTTGTATACTAATTTTAAATAGATATTTTTATGTAATTTTGTACAATTTAAATTATATATAAATATTTTTCAATAAATTAATGTAGGTAAATTGCATTACATGTTGATTCTCTATTTTAAATTTACAAATATTAATCAATATCTCTTACCCGTGCACTGCACGGGACTCATACTAGTATATATATATACATCACTTACATTGTGGTGCGGTTAGAATCAAATGTGGGATCATTTATTTATTTTTTTTTTGGTACAAAGATGGAGGCCAGAGGCCCAGAATCTATAAAACTAGCACTCGACGAGGGTGAGCCACCCCTTGGAGGTCGTGGTCAAGCCATGCACCCAAACCTTGAGGAGGCGACGATATTCTTTGAATCCTAACATGGACGAGGCCGCAAGTGTCGCCATATGGTCGGCTGCAAAGTTGGCTTCCCGATGTACGTGCCGAATCCGAATTCTCCATTCTCGATCCACTAGGCTCCTAATGGCCCTAATTAGGGATTCGTGGGGGCCAAAATGACCGGGAGTCCCAAGGATCATTTGCGACACACACTGGCTATCAACTTCCGCTACAACCTTACGATACCCCAGATCCCAAGCAGTTGTAGACCTTGAAACAATCCCCATAGTTCGACCCCGGTGATAGTAGCAATGCATATGTTCATAAAGAAGCCTTCAATCCATCGACCAAGCTCGTTGCGGATCAAACCCCCCGCACTGCACAAGCCCGTGGCACGACTAAAAGCCCCGTTCGTGTTTACTTTAACCCAGCCGGGATCCGGTGGGTGCCAACGGATCATGCGGATAGTGTGCACTGCTGCTCCCGCCTTCATGTAGGCTGCCACCGCTTTGCCATAATTTTCAGATTTTCGCAGAACCTCCAAGTATTGGGCCTCGCATCCAATGAAGCGATTAGTAAAAATTTTTTCATTACGCCATTGTCATGAACTCCACACACAGAAAGCAAACTTGCAGCTCCAGTCCTTGTGCAGGTCCGATGTCGCCCGACCTAAATTACTTAACAACCATTCCCGAAGTTCTTGCTGGAAGAAGTCGCCCGTAAAGTTTGAAGGAAGTAACTTGTGCCATAATTTTTTGGTAACCGGGCAGTCCCTCAATACATGTACAGCAGACTCGACGGCACCACACAGCTCGCAGGAGGGCGAGGCAGCAAGATGCCGCCGGACTCTCTCTGCGTTGATTAGGAGACGGTCATGAGTAGCTAGCCACATAAAGGTGCGGACCCTTTGTGGTACAGGAGACGTCCAGATCAATTTCCAAAGGAGGTGATTTGGATCTCTCCCCGGTTGAGTTAGGGTCGAGTAAGCCGAGCTCGTCGAGAATTGGCCGTCATGGGAAGCCCCCCACACAATGCGATCCGCTCCGGCACTATCCCTCGGAGGTGTTATCCCCGCAATACGCATAATAAGGAGGAACCCATGGAACTCGTCCCATCTCCAATTACCACTATCGTCGACGTAGTCCCCGACAGTCAGGCTAAGGGCATCCTCGGGCAGCCACTGAGTTACGTAATTTATTAATGGTCCAATTGTACCAACCCAGGGGTCCAGCAAAAAACGAACTTGCTCCCCATTACCCACGTTCCAACGGGCCTCTTTGATCATGGCGGGCCAAATCTTACGAAGTGATTTCATAAGCGGAGACCCTTGACAACATCGAGGGCTATCTAGATTGTTCGAAGGGGTGATCCCATACTTGGCCACCATTAGGCGCACCCATAATGAGTTACTCTAGATATTAGAATAGCTATCGAATAAGAAATCTCTCTCCTATATATTAATTCAAAACGTGTTGAGCCTAGGTGGCAGATTCTCACGTTTCGGATGCTGACATGGCGAAAATCTATGCATCGTGATGTTGTTTTTATATTATTTTTGCTCTGAAGTTAGATTTGGTATTAGACATAAATTACTTTACACATATATTCATTAACTCAACACTCATGTTGTACATGGGTATTAGTACTAGTTATTATTAGTTACTAGTTTCTATAAATTCATTTTCTTAAAAAAAAGGAAAATAAAAAATATGAAACCACTTGTTGATGATATAATATGAAAAATAAGTTTATATATTTTTTTTTTAATTCCTAAATCAAATTATAAATTCAGCTGACAAACACAGTTATATATATGTATTCAGCATTTTGGCCTCCATCCAGCTTCACATGACCCATCTTTTTCATTGCAAATTATTCAATATTCCTTTGAAATGAAATGTACTTGCAAGTACAATGTATTGTCTCATAAAATTTCCCAAAAGGTCCATAAAATTATTCAATGAATTTGAATTTTATTTAACAATCAAAATATTCAAAGTAATTGATTTAAATGATGAGTTTAAAATGAAAGCCTTTAAACTCACAAATGCTTTAATGGAAAACATAATAAACACAAACACACACACACACACACATACACACACACACACACACACACACATATATATATATATATATATATATATATATATATATTAATGTGTATGCTATTAATAGATAGACTTTGCATGTGGAGTCAGTTGAGAGGCACATGGAATTTGTGTGAGTTAATTGCATAACTGTGTGTAAATGATTTATCAAATGGTTGAGCATCTTGAGATAATAATATATACTTTTCAAAGAAGCCAATGGATGGCTATGTGTCCATGTCTTGGGGATCTTTGCATGTTATTTGTTAATTTACTCATATCTCATTTTCTTCTCACATTTACTCCCTATCTTGATATTTTTTTCTACTATTCCATTTTTTTTCTATTTATTTCTTTTTTATAGCTTGTACAATGAAAT